CTAGTCTCTTAGCTTTTCAGGCACAGCGATTAACGATGATGATTATTTAATCGCGGTTATCTAGTTCGAACCCAGGCGGTTCCCATCCCACTTCAACGTGTTTATTCATATTTCCAACTGTGCAGCACACAGCGGAAAAATCGCCGGGTCATGGCAAGAAACCTAACGTGTAACTTTTGATACGGCTTCTTCAATCAAGGATCCTTTCCAATTCAGTATTCACTGCAAGACAGCGCACAACTAAACAAGTGAAACACATCCAATGTTTGACCCCGGTTGACTACACAGTAAGAGAAATTTCTCAGCGTAAGGCTGCTGTCTTTGCCGAGAAATTGTATTCCAACATTGTGCAAAGAGCCGAATCTTAATCGAGCATCAGACGTTTGTCAAGGCGGTTACTAACATTACTGGCTCATAAAAGTGCAAAACTTTTGTTGTGTATCCTCTTACTATCGGATCTTTGTTTTGGACGATCATACGATTAATAGTTTTAGGTTTCAGGTCCGTTACAATTTAATTGGTGATCGTTCCTTAGAATGGTTCACTTGCATTTGTATTTCCATTATTCTTAGATTTCATCTACCGACAAGTTTATCTTTTGAATTTGCTTGTGTTATCTGGCCCCTCAAACTAAACTTTATTTGCGTTTTCTCTGCCATCCAGCAAAAGATGTCCCATTTAAATACTTTCTTTGTGACGCACAACCTGTTACCGTTTTGCCACACGAGACGGAGTACGTGGGGAGTGAAAACCACATCATTTACAAGATTGAGATGAAGGAGCGAAGTTCCAAAGCTCAAAAAAGGGAATTAATATTCTTTGGTACATTTTCGGTAGACTCCCGGAAAATGTCAAAATGCTGTGCTCACCTTTTTTATTTATTTGTGGTCGAATTCACACTTATTGAATACATTATTCTATGGGAATGAATAGTTCAGCACTCATTGGTTTTCCAAACGCTGTGGTAATGGTGAATGTATTCATAAAATGTTAAATAACCCTGAAGAGGGTACTGCTGAGAGATCAGTAGTTTCATGTATTATTATTATTATTGAGAACTTTGCTTTGATCGAGTAATAATACAATATGCTACCAAGAGCAACCAGTTGGCCTGGTGACGCTCTTATACAGACCGCAACTTTGCTCATTTGTCAGGCTGATGGGTGCGGCGAGACGCGAGTTTTTCGGACCGCCGTCCTTAATACCAAGCTATGATTTAGTGTAGAGCACTTTTTGTGTACAGTTACCTTGGTGATATTGCCTTAGTCGTCATACAATGCACAACAACAATGAAACTCTCGTAGGTAAAACGGAACTGAAAGTTTGTCCAGCCAAAATATGTTGGAGGAAACTTGTTACCAATAGGAGAATAACATGTTAGCTTTCATTTCATATCCAAATGTTTTCTTTAGTAGTAGAAACATTTGAACTTAAACTGGATTCCTTCATCTGTTATACTTAGTTGTTATAAGTCAAGTGAACATCTCTATTCATATGTTTTCTTGTCAAATTCAATATTGACGGTAATCAGTATTATATATACCTTCACATCTATAAGTATATTAGTATACCCGTTTTTAGTCGTACCAAGGACTGAGCTCCGACATGAAATTCCATTAGTTTTATTTTGTCCAGACAAGAGCCTAACATTTGTATTGATTTTTATACTTATTGTTTTCTTGTGCTGATAAAATAAAACAATAAAACAGTTTAATGATATTGTTCAAACCAATAATAACACTCGGGACGAATTGCACGTTTATCCGTTGTCCAAGTTTTAGAAGTTACGATAAATCACCAACCACAGACGGAAAGCCAGTGAACCATCACACATTAAACACTCTCTGTGAACCATGTATCACCAAAAACACGCAACATATTAAACGTGCCATACAGGAAAAGAAACACTTAGCTTTCTTAGAGATCTCAAACAATGACAAATCTGTTTGTTCCCCTCGTTTAATTAGAGATTGTCTGTCTGGTTCTCCTATCAGCGCCAAATCCTATAAAAACTTGGTTTTTATTCTTGCACCGCACGTGTTACTATTCAATATAAAAAGAACAAAAACGTGAGCTAGGCAAAGAAAATAAAACAATGAATAAGGCTTAGCTGTCCAAAGATAAGCAAAAAATTATTCTGCGTACATGTGGTGACTTCTAACCAAAACGCTGAATTCGGTAAAGACACATACCAACATCGACTCGATTGGGTTTATTCAGTGAAATGTTTTGCCCAACTGACTTCAACTACAACGAGTAAAAGTGATTTTCGTTAATTAGTACTTCACAATAGAACAACACATCAGATCACCGATCGATCGGTCGGTTGTGTGTTATGGTGGTTTGTCTCAACCTCCAAGACAGTAACGAATGCATCAAAATCGTTTATGCTTCATTTTGGACTATCCATTTCGACAAAAGACTAACCGGTCAGAATGATACTTCTATCTTATGCATGTAGTGTATGTTTGCATGCATATCAGTCTGGTGCCTAGTTCACCCAAAATAGTTGGTGTGTATTTATGGGAGACAAATCAAATGACAACTGTGAATGTGATATTGTCCAGCTACTGAATTACACTCGTGTGCGTATTGCATTGTAAATTTTGTCTGGCATTTGGCAAACTCCACCGCAGACCATATGATTGATTTTGGTTGCTAAAGTCTGATTAGTTGATAATCACTAAATGTTTAATTGCGGTAATTCCGACGAACATATCATTTATTCACGGAAGTCCTATCTCAGACAGTCAAATCAACTTCTGTCAAAACTTGAAGCAGCATGCACAAATTAAAGTCATGGCTGAATTCAGTCATAAACTTGGCTACATAGACACTTAGCGAGCTTCACTAGATTTCTTATTTCGCTTGAAACAGACAACATATGACACACAGCTCGTCCATCATCATCAAACCACTGCGTGTTGCCCAATGCTTACTAGCGGATGCTATCTAACAGGTTAATTAATAGAGGTTTCCTTTTTGAAGATATTGATCATCAGTTCTGATCCGTGTTGATATAACTCATTCAAATTTGTTAAACCTGCATGGAGTTAAGTAAATTTAGCAACAAATCAGTAGAATTTGATTAGCCTGAGGAAAGCCGAAACAGAAACTTAATGGCAGATTTTGTGTTAAACAGTTAACTTAAGTGAATGCGATCCTATTATGGTTCCGTGAAACAGTTTATAGCAAATGAACTCTTCACCTTTATGTATTGGAAACAATAAAATTGCCATCGCCCATCTTGGAACACAAAACCACGGTCTTTGTTTTCTAATGTTTCCAAAGCTGAATTGACGTGATACGTTTTTCCATACCCAACTCCCTTCTCCACATGTGATGAAGGGGCGTGCGTTAGGCCGCATCGCTGAAAGAGACTATTATCTATTTAGTATAATACTGCAATGAGCAATAGAATTAGGCAACATATGCATCCTGGTTTAACATATACGTGAACACACAGAACATATATTTGGAATATGTAATTGGTTAACCGTCTACAAACTGGGAACAAAATGGACTCAGCAGGGTGATAAAAGACTGAGGTGCACTATGAACTTCGTTCCCACAATGATTCCTGATTTGATCCAAAAAGGTTTCTCCAATGCACTCGATTATCCTGAAAATATTGCCCGCTTCACATGTCAAGCCTACATCGAAAGATGACTTAGGCTTATTCCACAGATAAATTCCACGAAGATAAATACTCCAAATCCTCGAAGTATTTTCAATATTCATTCTATTGTCTGTAGCGTCATATGCCTCTCTATCAACCTTTATAACAGGTGTTTACGTTGTAATGGTACAAATCACACCCCGCATATTTGTATTTTCTTTATCATTCAGCGTCACCAAACAAATCGATCGCACGGCAAAAATCAAAGGAGGCTGTCGATTGGATCATCCTGTGCGTTTACCAATATCATCCGACTGACCCTCAGTTCACAACCAGCAAGCAGTATTCTGCTTTTTTGAGAAACGTCCTTACACTGTTTGATCGCCGTATTTTGACTCGATCGACAAGCACTGTCCGCAAACAAACCAGGACGTCTCACGTACTATCCAACTTCGTTTGTATACACGCAGACATGCGTGTAGGTGAGCCAAATTTGTGAAGTATGAATGAATGACAGCATGTTGCACGAACTCTTATATCAAAGATCACGTGTGTCACCGTCTGTCTAGGACAGGTTCCACCTGTCTGCACAGCCTGTCTATCCGTTTGGCTCAGACTAGTGAATAGAGAGACAAACGCACGTGTAAAACATATTGCTCGGCACACATCACATTCAGTCGTCTTCACGAATCACAGTGGGTTGTGCATTGTGAAACGCGTGTTCATGTATTTTATCGATTGCACACAACAAATGACTGGCTGCGCATAGGATTTGCACAAACGAACAAACACCCGCCCACTAAAGAGCACAAACATACACAGAAACACGCCGCTGTGCGTGTACAGTGATTTGGTCAGTTCTTAAGTGAGCTGATACTTCCGTTTGTCGTGGTATACTACTCCAGCCTGCCTTCTTGCTCGCTCGCTCACCAACCAGCGCTGATCGCCCGATTTATCGCCCATTTACGTCCTGTATGAGACAATCGTACGCCGGAAGCGTCTTATCCACAACCGCGTTATCTGTTGCGCATGTAAATAGTTTATACACGCGAACACACACACACAAGCTCGTTTATCTGCTGGGGCAATGCACATCGGGTAGCCAGATCAGCAGACGGAAAACGGAGAAGATTATCTGCCAGTTATAAACTATTACAAGGATAAACAACTGATACAGCTAAAGCGACAGCGTGCCACGTCTCTGTGGATTCACTGGAATTTTACATCAGTGGATACAGTGTGTATCATGCCTCTCTGTGCATTTCTACACACAATTTCTTTGGGGATCTACTTTTTGCATATGGGAGATCAGAACAGTTGTGGAAATGAATTTTTTTAATGTGTTCCCTATAGATGCTCATTTACAATAACTAGAATAAATATGGCCAATTTAGACCCAAATAACATTGGGGAGGATTGGCTCAAAGTCAGTGAGGCGCGTTATGATTCCATGAAACATCTGTTACAATCAGTGAAGCAGGATATCGATGCGCTGACACAAAAGATTGATTCCACACAAAAATCACCTGTTCTTCAACGAGCGACTTACCCTCAGTCACAAACTTCATCTCGTATAGATGAAGCTCAATGTATCACAAATGCTGCTCAACCAACTGGGTCACTCCTAACACAAACCCAAACACCCCCAACGAGTACCACCATAAAACCCTCGTTATATCAGCCAAATCAACCGGATTTACTGGCCAATGTACATCAGTCTACTTCCACTACCACTGCTATCAAAACAGATACTGAGTTCCCAGAGCTGGATGAGATGGAAGAATACATGGATATTCGGATTCGCAAAGAACGGAATCCGTTCAGTTTTGCACAAAATCTAATTGATTGTAATGTAGCCTCATTGATCAGTTCTGATCTACCTGGAAGTGATTCGGCCGGTGATGGAGAAAACAAAACTTGGCGTTCCCCTTCCGACTTCAGTTTACGCGATCCATTTGAAGAAGAACAGTTGAATCAAGAATTTCATAATCAAACAAATATTCTCAACAGTTCCGGTCCATCTGGATTACAAATGCAAATGAAGGAAACAGACCTTGATGATGTTGAACCTGGTCCGTTTGATCGAGGAAATGAATCTGACGGAAGTTTATCACCAGCCGTGTCGCCTACATTTGAAATTTACGCTGCCGAAACCGTTCAACTAAAAGACATGCTTCTATCTAATGAGGAAACGGTCGCACTGGGATTAAAACCGGAAGAACCTTTGGAGAAAAATACAGCGGTGGAAGATTATCAGGTTTATGAAAACGGGCATTCGTTGACTACAATAGATGAAGCATCGGAAGAAGTAGAAGATGACTGGTCATCATCTGAATTGGATTCCTCTTTGGATAGCAACGATGATAAGAGAGATCACATGGCTGCAAGACACTCGAGCAAACGTTCTACAGACGGTGAGTCACCTGCCAAGAAAGCGATCAATAATAGTTTTAAATCCGCCGAGACGCCCTCAGATCAACCACATGATGAAATACTTAGTTGTCAATCCCGAACAGCCACACTGAAGAAGGAAGAAATACCAAAACCAGAAGAAAATTTTGTGTTTGATTCAAGCGAGACTAAACTGTTAGAGGTAAATCAAAAAACGGTTGAGGCTGTGGTTCTTCGACCAAAGCGTATCGATGCAGAAGCAGCTTCACCAAACAAACAGCGACATTCGCAGCGACCAACTTCAATGGGATCTCTCCGCAGTACTCTGAAACAGATTGAGAAGTCTCCCACTGGATCCTTACACTCTGTTATTTCTGCTTTCAGTCAAGAAAGCATGATCAGTGAGGCGGACTCATATGTGACTGTGTGCAGTCGGTTTGCAACCACTGGAAGTGATGATATTTATACGACTGCATGTAGTGATTCCGAACTTCCTGTTTCACCGGGAAGAGTTGGTGGCTCTGCAGACGATGAATGCCTCACACTATCCCGTAAACGGACAAAACTGGCTCGCGATCAACGTTCCCGAGCTCGGGAACGCCGAGTAGACCGTCTATCATCTTCCTCGTCAAACTCATCCATTGAGGAACAAGAGAGTCCCCTGACCCCAGAAGGAGATCGGCACGAACATGAGCAAAGAGCTGATGAAACGCTGATACGAACTCCTCAGGCGCTTATTGTAACCCCGAAATTTTCCCGTCTACCATCAAAATTAGCCTCACCTAATGATATATCACATAACGCTGATGATGGAAACCATCCTGTTGATCAAGTGTTGATTGACAGAGATTCAACATCCCAATTCGTCGGTAAGTCAATGTTTGCTTGATTGAAAAGCTCGTTCGTTTTTTCTGTGTATTCTATCTTATGTGAATAATATTTCACATTGATTAGGACAGAAAAACATCAAACTGTAAAAATAATAGCATATTTTAATTTCCCTTGGTAATGTTGCTGTCAATGAACTTATAAGGATGAGAATCTTCAACCCATTTAATTCTGTTTTTGGAGCTGTTTGAGTATGATTATGACAATCGGAGGAAAACCAAAAACAAGGGTATGGTTTTGTTTGTTCAGGTCGGAATCAAAATGCATTATCGCGCTATTAATCAGGAAACAAAATTTAGAGAATTTTCTCTTAAGAACTAAGTAAAACTTGGTGTAAGAGTATGAAACAGGCAAAGGAGTGCCAACGCTTAAACACCATAGATAACTCAATCATGTAAGATATTCTGAATAATTGGAAAACACACTTTTGGACGAAATCAGAAAGTTAGCAGTGAATGGAAACGTTAATCAAAATGTTGTGCTGAAATTGGGCTCTAACCAGCGTCGCTTCCTATGGGGAAAAAATACGGAGACGTTTGTAGGCGTTTCCCACAAGCAATAAGGATGATCCTTGGTATTAGCTTTATAGAATTGTGGCATTTATGGACAGAGCTAGATACGGATGGAAAATCAACCTTTCATACCCCAGTAGCAACAGTCATTTTAAATAACATTGTGGTTGTTATGACCAAACCAATTCTGGAACCGATCGTCATGAGGATGAAACGCCGACCTAAACCTGGGGCAATGTATTATGCAAATTAGTAACTTGAAACTGTTTCGGCTTTTGCACAATCCATAGTCTGAATACTGGCTCAGTGGTCAAATATTAGAGATTGGGTTTGGATATTCAGGATGGTTTTGCAATTCTCTGCGATCGTAGTCAATAAACTAGTATGCAAACGCATATACTAACTAGTTGCACCCCTGATTGTTGCGTTTGCACAACGTGCAGGTTCCGAATCGTTGTCAGCAAGAAAATTGCTCCAGTTTTCCTATAATGAAAAGATAACAGAAGCTGGCAACATGAAATATGGATTAATTTTTGTCTGGCAATTCAAAATCAGCGTATCCTTATACCGAGTCATCATCATAATGTAAACTATCACATTTTAGGCAGTTCCATTCACATATAATACCTGCTCAAAACACCACTGGACCATAGTGATGAACTGGCTTTGGTCCCAGGAATTCATAGTAATTTGTTATGGCAGGTTATCTACAAACTTAAAAACAAGTTCGGCTGTTCGAGTTCATTTGTAAGATAAACCGCTACTTGAACTGGCAACTGGAATGACGGTCTTTTTATTTAGGCGCAATTAACTTTGAATCAGTAAATTAAGTGAATAACACAAGCGATTTGTAAATCTTAACTTCAGGGTAATAGTCCAAATTCTATATTATCCAATAACTGAATCCATTGCAAAAAACAAGTTCTCCAACTTCGCTATCCGAGTAGTTGGCTTAAAAACCAGCTTTGTGCATATTACTGACGAAACATTGAAGCGCACTCCGAAAGTAATACTTTTATTCACTTTACGCAAAACGGAAGATCATCATAAAGCGTTCAAATATCGTGTTGTTACTGGATTCGTTCGGTGTTCTATCACTAATCTCTTTTTCAACTCTTCCTCTAAAACGTGCCACGCCTGCAATTCCTTCAACCAAACCAAACCATCATTTAAACGGTTGCCAAACGAAATACTTTGAGTTTAGTCAGAGCAAAAGTTCTCATTTGAGATAAGCACTTGCCAAACTAAAAAGGCGCTACTCCTGATACATTTGTCTTTGGGTCGGAATTCCATCCGCAATGCGAGATCCCCGAGGAGCATTAGACACCTTGGGATTATTCATTCGCAATCTGTAAAACTCGTCGATGAAACATAAACTACATATGCTTTAGGGAATAGATCATATACGTTCAGACAGTCGGTGAGGTTATGTAAACAGCTCGTTTTGATAACAGACAGTTGACCTTGACACCTGTGTTTTTGCGTTGAAGATCACCATGGACTCTGCTGTCTTCACTATCGTTGGCCTAAACCCAATTGAAGTAGTTCAAATTGTATTGTTCATTAGCCCTGTCATTGTTTACTTTGCGTGGCAGGAATTTCATTATAAATTGTAACGATCATGAGATTTAGTACTATTCAAAACCCCTGACGAAAATTCACAGTAGGATATAAAACTATCGTGTCGATGTAACCTATATGATGCACTTAAGAACTATGTAAACCAAAGAGGCTTTTGTATGTTTTTCAAAAAATGACTGATTGATCTTGTAGGAAGCAATGGAGTAATATCGTTACCTGTAGATTTGTTGAGCTTCCGTTTTGCAAGCAGCGTATTTCGATGCGATGCAGAGGCTTCTTGTGTCGTTCAAGAAGAAAACAGTCCATGATTCAGAGGTTTATATTGGACAACGATACCAGGCACGGTTCAAATTTCACAGTAAAACGAAGGCATTACTCAACTCACCCACATGAGCTCTGTCTCACGTCCTTTGTTTGTTTATTTTACTTTCTAGTAGTGCTTGCCAAGAAAAATAAGACACTATGGGTCAAGTCTCCTGTAAAACTCCTGTTTGACATGTTCACAATAAACTCCATATTTTCTGTCAGCATCGATTGTCCAAAAACACGTTTGGAGATCATTTAAGATAGACCTGCCAACGACTACAGCTGGCTACTTTGATGACAGATTGACATTTTGATCAACGTTTTGGAACTTATGCTCACTATATGCACGCGCTGTATGTTGTGAAATGCATTATTCGTAGCTCCGGAAATTACACCTTAATGTCCACAGAGAGCCTACGGTTCACCTTTTCTGCTACTCAAGCTGTCCAACTCAGTGGAAGGTAATCAACTGGCAGAAAATTGGCTCTGACCTAAATCCGTCCAAGCAGAGCTGAATTTGTATTTCAATTGTTCGGCCGGTTCTATTCCATAAACTTTGATTTAATAGATGTTTGAGGGATACAGACTATCATAGCTTCAAAACTTTTGTCCGTAGCTCGTTGCACGCGTTACGTGCAACAACAGGCATGCAATCTCGAGGTTAGGTATTCGATAACTGTGGTGAAGTACTAATACAAGTGGTCTGCGTCCATGGATTGTGGCGGCTAGGTAATGTTTTACGCTTGTCACCGGATACAGTTCTCTATTTCGTTATGATAACAGAGGTAAGCAGTAGATGGAAGAAAGCCGAGAGTGGTCATGTCATTTGGCACTGGGGTAGGAAAACCCTAACCATAACTCTTAGTGAACTAGATTTGCTTACGCTTCCGTGTTGGAGACCTCGAGGCCAATGCACTCGTGCCGAACTTTCCAGTAAATGTCGAAAGCCGTGGTGCTTGCCCATCTACAAGTAATTTAGGCTAATGTGTTTAACATGTTTTGTATTTTTCCATCTTGATTTCGCCTCCATATGAGCAACCAAACGACTGCTTATTATAATGGCAGCTATCGAACCCAGGGGAATGAAAATACACGGTAAAGGTTAAATGAATCCGCCGTAATGACTCTGGAGTATTATGCCATCAAATTCAAACTGAATACACGCTTTTGAAACACTGAGTAGATATCCAAGCTTGCTACTCCAGAACCCAGTAGGAAATTATAAAAACATTACACATACCAGTAATAAAACTGAGATCCGGTCTGTGGTTTTCCTGGACGATCAGGTCTCGTGTGTAGTTATCAGTCAATGTTTAAACGCTAAAGGGCTTTTGGATAGCCTTGTTTTCTAGTTCTTGCTGTTTGCTACTTGGACTTTAACTAACTCTCGGTAGTGGTCTCCGTTTTACGAAGCATCTGTTGATTCTAGCAAATAAGAAAGAGTGGAACATGCCGTTCAGAATGCTTTCCGAGAAAGAATAAACGTCGTTGGTATCGTAGTGTATTTTCTTTCTTACAGCTTTGATATATGAGACCATGTAAACAACATCCCTGAAATCAAGTTTGTGAGTAATCAAGTGTAACAATGTTTACCTCGTTCCCTTAACATCATTCATCCATATCTCTTATTTTGAAAGCGATCTGAATAACTTTGGCTCACTTTCATTCCCGAAATTGGTCAAAATCCATATTATATACGAAGGTGATAAACGATTATATTTCATACTTAAAAATGCGCCAATGATCTTGAAATGGTATCATCCTTCACCACTGAACCTTAGACTCAAACGCAACTGTAACAGGATGGAGAAAAAGAGTCAATTGTATGAAATCTAAATTGATCCGTTGACCAATTCCCTAGGGCAGTTTTGGAAGTATGATTTTAAGAAGTATTATAAATACTAAGGCAGTTGAAACAGTTTCGGTAGTTACATTTGAAACGTGATAATCCGTAGGGGTATTTACTAGTATGATGTTCTCGGTCTTCCCGTCGAAAAGTAGCTGAACTCTTCCAGTCTCCAAGTTGATCGGGAAACTTTCGGGCAGCAATTTTTGATATACTATGCTGTCCATTCACTTTCTACGTTTCACATAAACTACGCGCACAAGAGATAGTTCTCTTCATGATAATGATGTCCCTGTTAAACATGATCAATAGAATTTTTATACAACAATAGTGACGAATTTGTTGACCTGCTGGTGGACAGGCTACGAGTGAAGTTTCGCCGCGCCTACACAGGGTTCCATTGACAGTGGGCGACATTAGACAGCTTTGGCGCCATCGTAACACTCGTCTGTCTGTGAAAGGTTGAGTATATGCTGCAGTATTGCGGTCAGCGCTGCTTGAAGGTGAAGAAACTTGATCATGGTGAGAACAGAATACAGATGCACCGTTGGTGTCCGAACACCACTGTCTTCGCCAGACTATAGGAATTCAGCGTGGGGAGACCGGACAAGCAATGCCCAGGTGAGGCACAGATTCTTAGACGATCGCAATCACAAGTGGTCGGCCTCCAAACACTACGCTCATTGGGACGTGTTGAACATGTCACCAAATATATTGCTATGGCGCGCATTTTTTTCGACGTAGGTAGGAGATGGA